TTTGGTGTGTTTAGATATTAGATGTTTGAATTAAAATGCATTTGAAAGTTGTTGTCATGATAGATTTTTTTTGTTCTCTTCACTGTTTGAGTTTCTGCAACAATTTTTTTTTTTATTATTGTTTAGTTACTTCACTAATTAAACTACACTCTAGGCATCAACATGAGTGTCTTTCGGGTTGGATAGCAGTAGTCTAATCAGTGGAGGATATTACATGCTAGTTACTACTAAAGATCCTAATCTGGTAACGTAAAGAACTGAGTTCAGATTGGAGGCAATGGGGTTACTGGCGTTCAAATATACGTAGAGTTTGTTAGGATTTCTACATCAGGAACCATGTTCTAGGTTGAGATGAGAGTGTTTATTTGTTCCATGAATGAAACCAAGTTGCGTTTACTTCAAATAAAACCACATCCCTTGATAGTTCTTGTCTGATGCTTTTGGGGTTTTAATTGGTTGTTGTCTATCTTAAACTTCATTTTATTTTAAATTTTCTCTAGTCTTTTGGTTATTTTATGCGTTCTAGCAACTTTGAACTTCTCATCCATGAGATATTTGCTTCATGTAATTCTGGATTTTTACCATATCTTCACCTTCTGTTAACAAAATCAGGGTGGGCTACCCATGTGTGTAGCCAGTCATGGTTTATACAACTTAAAGCCTGCAACAGTGTTTGTACCGCCATCAATCAAAGAAGATCTTGAGAATCTGTTTGAAATTTAAAGGGCAATGGGCCAAGTGGAACTAAACCCTGATTTGGTAGCACTAGATGTTGGTATGTAGCTTTGGTTAGAAAGTTCTGTAACTCTTTGATGTTTATAATCTTTATAATGAATATTGCCAAGTTGACTTCAGGTGAAACATATGAATTGCGGAATTACATGGTTGTGAGACCTTTTAAAACTCACCATGTTATACCAAGCCAGGTATCTTTAACTATTAATTCTCTAAATCGTGTAGAAAAAGTATATATATTATTTATTTGTGAATGTTCAAATCTCTGAAGTTAGATAAATAAATTATAAACCCATCGTTGAGAAATAAAATTGTGATCCACCCACAAATAAGTCTTAACTTTGATATCTTCTGCATGGTTGGAGGTCACAGCATTATCTCAGACTGGACCAATTTTATTTCTTCTTTTTCTTTGTTCTGCCGAAATTCTCATGTTTTTCCCGGGCTTCTGGAGAAAATACATCCTGTTGCTTGCTTTACCCCTGTTGATATTCTTGGAAGTTTAGTTTCCGCATTAGAGATTATAAAATTACTTGTTTTTGTTCTGGGTTATGTCATTTACTCTGTCAGAAAGAAGCTGAAGAAGCAATACATTCATCTGAAATGCAAACAGATTGAGAAATTGAAGAAATCTGATGTTGAGGTTTGCACCTTAAGTGAAGTACTTTGGTTAAATTTTTTCTTTATTAGGTACTTATTTGACTTGAGACCTCCTTCTATAGATTACAGACATTATATTGTCTCCAGAGGTGGCATTTACTGGAGATACAACATTAGACTACATGCTTGATCCACGAAATGCGGATGCCTTGAGGGCAAAAATTCTTATAACTGAGGTATTGGCCAAATCAAATACTGTCTTTTCCCTCAATTCAATTTATATTTTGGTAATTTTTGTGCGTTTTCTGGGGTTAAAACCTATGACGTTTTATTCAAATTTCCAAATAAACCGCCTTGACCTTGTGGCAAATTTGACACAATATGCTATCTAGATATTAAGCAGCTTCAATTGCTGAAATGGCAAAATCAATTTGGAAAGTCTAATAGGCAGTAACCAAACATGTCATATTGAAGGCAAAAATGACTTAACTTTGTGCACCCTTCTAGTATAACATAGGTGAATGTAAGTGTGAAATGTCTTATACATCCATGCACAATTACTTGTATTAGTCCAATAGATGAAATTTTTTGTTCATTTCATCATGTATAAGAAACAACTGTCTTGATAAGAGTTACAAATGTAAAACATAATCTGCACTTAGCCTACCTAAATGTCTCCTTAAAATTTGAGAATAGGAAAAGTTGGAAAAAGTTCCCAGCATAGATGTACAAGTCTTCAATCCCTAGCTTTTGGTGTTCTTGAAGTCATAGCTATTACAGAAGAGGATGCCTAGTCACATTTGGGCAGACAATGGCCTGTATGTTGCATTGATATCATAATAAACTTGTTATGTGTAGTGTTTGCTTTCTGTTTCCTCTTTCATCCTATTCCTTGAATTAACATTCAATACATTACGGCCTTCAGAATCTGCTGTTTTCTCATGATGTTTGAGCTGTTTTTAGCAGGCAACTTTCCTTGATGAAGGGTATAGCATCAAGCATGCACGAGAGCATGGTCACAGTCACATATTTGAGGTGTGTGTACCATTGATTCTGCCATTCTAATTCTGCACCACCTTTGGTGAGTTTTAACTTTATTGTATGTGCAAATTGCAGATCATGGAACATGCACAGTGGATCCGGCAGCAAGGCTGTCCTATTAACTCATTTCTCGTCCCACTACAACATAGAGGTGATCGTTCGATCAAATTGCTTGTCTCCGTTTTAGTTCCTCTGACACAGCAAATCCCATTGAATCTCTATTAGCTGTTAAGAAGGTTTGACAATCTCGTCAACAAGAGAAACAGATTAATACTAAAGTTGCTCCTGATAATCCCATTTGAAAATCATCTAAACCGGATGGTTTAATCCTGTCATTTGAGGTTTTTTTCCATTTTGCAGAGGTGTAAATAGAATATCTGTGTGCTTTAAAATCAAACTTTATAAATTTTATGTAGAAAGCTAGGAATCATCAGAAGAAATAGTTAACAAAAGTGTAACATAGAAGCAATTTCTTTTTCATGCTGAGATCTTTCTCCTCTGCTTAACGAAGTATTATTGCTTGTGGGTTATGTGGAAAAATGCCTTATTTGAATTCTAATAAATGTCAGGAAAAACAATAGAATAGGCTACACATTTTGTGAGTCTAGTAATCTAATGTGTGAGCACCATTCATCCCAAGTGAAAATCTTATAAAAGTTATAATCTCTTTTCAACAGGATATTTGTCAAGCCATTTCAAAGCGGCAAGCTGGAGTGTCGACAAAGGTGGTCCCTCTATTGGAAGGTTTCAAATCAATGTATTCTTAATTAACTTCTATTAGCAGATATAACATATCTGAGAGCAGTCTAGAATCTCGGCAAAAGTGATTCTTCGTTTTTCTAGTAAGTTCACTGGTTCTAAATTGAGGAATGCGCGCACAAGATCATGCTGATTTGGCCCCAGTTGAGAACAGCAGTAAATTTCAGGTTTGGATCTGCCTCATCTCTAGAGTTCGTAATAGTTGCAATCTTTCTTAAAGATGACATGGCCAAGAGAAAAGAAAAAGTTATGTTGATTTTATTCATAGATGATGAGATGATAAGGAGGTTAATATGCTTTGTTACCATACAGCCTGGAACGCATGCTTACCAATATTCATATTTGTGCGAGACTGTAGTCTAGGAGGAATAATGGTCTATATTATCTAGGATTATAACAGAATATAAATCTAAAAATCCAAATCTTTTTATGGAAGTGACCTAATCCTTCCAGCGATCTAAAGCCTATAATTTTTTTTTTTTATTGAAAAGAGGCAATAGATCTAAAAGACTATAATGAGTAGTTGTAAGTCATTGTAATGTACCTTGCATGATTTATATAAATAAGATATTTTAAAAAATATAAAAAATATGGCGTTTTGGTATAAAAAATCTCTAAATGTTGAATCTTTTAGCTACAAAATAGAATAGGTGTGGCATTGTGCAGTTCTGAAAATCCAATTCTTTTTACAGAAGTGAACTAATCCTACCTAGCGATCTAAAGCATATAATTTTTTTTTTCAATAAATCATAATGAGTAGTTGTAAGTCATTGTAATCTGACTTGCATATAAATATAATATTTTAAAAAATATAAAATATCATGACATCTCGACATAAAAAATCTCTAAATGTTAAATCTTAGTCACAGAATAGGTGTGGCATCGTGTAGTTCTAAAAACCCAATTCTTTCTAAGAAAATGACTTAATCCTTTCCACCAATATAAAGCCTATAATTTTATTTTTTCAATTAGATCATAATGAGTAGTTGTAAGTCATTGTAATTTGACTTGCATTCAAATACAATATTTAAAAAAATATAAAATATCATGACGTCTCGACGTAAAAGATCTCTAAATGTTGAATCTTAGCCACATAATAGGTGTGGCATCGTATAGTTTTAAAAATCCAATTCTTTTTAAGAAAATGACCTAATCCTTCCCAGCAATCTAAAGCCTATAATTTTATTTTTTTCAATTAGATCATA